GGGGGGGGGGGGGGGGGGGGGGGGGGGGGGGGGGGGGGGGGGGGGGGGGGTGATTCTTAGGACAACGCTGATTGCTGCAGACAGGGCAGCTTTTTTTTTGGACAGAAAAAAAACATCGGACGTGCTTGTCAACGAGAACAGAACTTAGTGCCTGCAACGCACGCTTTACCCTCCGCGAGAAGAACGGAGCGGGTCGCCAAGCCCAACAAGTGCACTATCGTCAATAGTGGGGGGGCACACACCCTACCGCCGCACGCAAACTCAACCATGAAACAGGCGGGCGTACCCCCCATACGATGAGGCGTGGTAGAGGTGTTGGCGCAAGTGGCCCACGAGGAAAAGCGTGTTATATACACAGCCAGTAAGGTAGCTCTACGGAAAGAAACAACGAACAACCCAGAGGGTGTGCTCCCTCTCTCTAATGAACGACAGGCTCGGATTCTGTGCAACGCCTCGACTATATCCGCTTGCCCGCCGTCCCACCCGCCTGGGGTCCATCCACTTACGTTTGCTGCTCTTAACGGCCAACCATGCAACGGCAGCATCACGATCACACACACACACACACTCACTCCGGTCCCCAAGAGTTCTTGATGATCCAGTAGTCCACGCCTTCCTCGGTGGTGCCGTAGCCCACGCACAGCACCGCATGGTTCACCTGCGCAGTCGGAGGAGGAGGAACGACAGGGGCAAGAGGACACGGGCACATGACGGCGGCGGTTCAAATGTACATGCCGCTTCATTTTTTGTCACGGCAAACTGGCGCCCGGATTGTCTTTTTGTGCGATCGCGTCGCGGTTGCCCCGAATGGTGTGATAAAACTTACGCATGTCACCGAGCTTCAAAATAAATATGGGCAACCTGGGGGGTTACCTCCTCCCGTGGCATGGTTTGTGTCTACGCTTGTTCTTGGCTTCAAGCAAAGGAGAAGACATGACTTAGCGAGACTATCATTAACGGCAAAAAGAGGCGGGTATCGCATCATCAATGTCCGGGTGTGGCGTGTCACATTGCCCCGAGCCTAGGCTCGAAATATAGCGGAATGACAGCGCTTCTAGACACGCGCTCCNCCCCCCCCCCGTTCATCGAGCTGGAACGTGGCTTTGTGAGCAAGCTACGTCAACGTGCCCACCAAGCGCACAGGAAAATCGGGCGTGAGGTCTACTGCAATGCCACATGAGATACCACATGCCCCCTGAAGCGAATTTCAAAGCTGCATTTCTACGGATAACTCGTCTGCGGTATCAAAAACATACCGACCCGATTTGCGTAAACGCCCTCAAACGTCGATATTGCATCACAACTTTTCGCGATCCAACAAACATAACGACCTCACGACACCAGCTCACTTCCAACCTTTGCAGGCTCTACGCCCCACTATTCCCACCACATGTCGCCTCCGCAAAATACGAATGAAAGGGGTTCCCATGGGAAGCCTCGTTGAAAATCCCCTCCAAAAGTCATGCCATTACAGCTCATCTAGCAACGTGGTGCTCCGTTTCAAGTTTTCAATCTCAAGCTGTTGTCTCCGAGATCTCTTGACAAAAGAAGAGGCGCGCGGGGGGAGGGGGGGGCATCAGGACGCATGCGTAGACTGCACCACTGCTGAAATTGGTCAGCCGGATAAAAAGCACAGTCGGTTTTGATGAATAAACCACAACACACAAAAGACGCACACAGCCACACAGCGGTAGTATAATGCCCCCATTGGTTCTCGTACGTACCTGTTCGGGGAGAGTTGAGCACGAAGGGTTGTCGTACACGCCTCCGGCATAGGCCTTGAAGTCGGGGGCGACCTGTGTGTGTGTGGGGGGGGGGGGGGGGGGG